AATGCTAAATACTAAAATAGTTAACAATTAGATATCATCAATAAATTAGTTGGAATGCTTTTTATGTATTTATCCATAGCCCCAGTTCTGAATAGTTCTTTGGGGGCCTGGGGAATCTTAAACATTGTCCTTCCAAATGTTTCCCTTAATGCCTAACACTAAAGATGTCCAACAAAGGGATGGGGCACAGGCTATTTTTTTTTTTTACATTTCACAAATGTTTATTGATCAATTGTCAATGTTCCACTTAAATATGAAAACTAGGCATGTATACAATATTCTATATATGGTCTAATCAGCACAGATTATGATGGACTATCTCCTCTCCTCCCTCATTCTCCAATTATGCTTCTATTAATACATCTTAAATTCACATTAACTTTTTAATTAAAAAAATAGCAGCCCTGCCACATTGTTGCCACATATTAACTTGCAACCAACTAAAAATCCCAGGTTTTTTTCATAAGAACTATGGAAACATTGGTAGTGGGAAATTTCTTTATGCTTAGGAAGCATACTAGTGAGCATCTTAGCAACTGGCTCATTATTTTCTTCCTTCATACATTCATACATACATATACACATATATATGTATATCTATTTATATACGTATATGTGTGTATGTGTGTGTATATACATACATATATATGTATGTGTGTGTATGTGTGTGCATACACACACACACACACACACACACACACACACACACACACACCTGATCTCTTTCCCAAACTGAGATTGGGTTGTTACTACTGAAAATGGACAAATGAAGACCCCAAGTTCCATGTAAATAAGTTCCCAAAATGGAGAATGGTCTAGAGTAGAAATGAATATATATATATATATATATATATATATATATATATATACACACACACACACACACACACACACACACACACATATCTTTGTCTCTGAAACAAAGGCTGTGTTGCTGATGAGTCATGAATCTCTGCAACAATGGGGCACAGTTTTTAATGGTCTACTGAATGTCATGCAAATATTCCCAATAATCCATTCAGTCCTTAGACAAATCCAAATTTAGCAGTATTTTATGAGGGCCCTTAACCTATTACTGCTGGTGGGCCTAGAGATTACAATCACCCCCCACATACAAAGTTAAACAAATTCAACAAGAAAAAAATTATACAAAGTTGCCACCTGTATTTCTAAGGGCCTGTCCCCAGTACCAACATAATTAGGGAAGAACAAAAATAAACATTAAAGAAACAACACTAGCAAAAGAATTTTTTTTCAGTAAAGGAAAGAAAAAAAAGAACTTTCTCTTTCAGTGGGAAAGTCTATTCCTAGCTGATCTTTGAGAACACATGGTATTATTCTGAAAGAAATTAGGGACTTGAGGTTGACCCATCTGGAAGAAAGCTCGTCCCATGGGTTCTTGCTAACACAAGGGCCCTTAAAATTTTTTTGTGTCATGGACATCTTTGGCAGTCTGAAGACTATAAGACCTTTCTTACAACAATGTTTTAAATAATAGAAGGCAATACTAAATTTCACTTAGAGATTTAGAGGCTAAATTTTACTTAGAAATAAAGATGTAATTTTTTTTCCATCCAAGTTCATGGACCCCACTAAAATCTATCCACAGACCTCCTATGGGTCCATGGATTCTGAGCTAACAACCCCTGCTCTAACACATGAGCACAACCCATATATTTATCCATCCCTGGGTCCCTGGCAATGAAGATGGAGATCCAAATGATAGTCCAGACAAATCTCTCCAGGGAAGGGTGCCCTGAAACATAGGAACCCCAAATTTCTCCACTGTAACCTTGCAAAACAGTAGAATACTCTAAAGAGAGATTGGAAGTCACCCAATGATAGAATAAGAAGGCTAATTTTTCCAAAAAAATCCAACTCAGATAAGCCTCACACATGTGAGGCTCCTATAAAGGAATGAAGTACTTAGGTTGATTGAAATCAGTCTTTCAAATCCTAGATGATACCCCAAGATATGACATGTCCTAAAGGGACCCTTTCCCACAAAAGGGCTCTAGCAGTGACTCATGCAGATCAGTTTCAGTCTTGGAGGAGCCTACCTCCAAAGAGAAAAGAATCAATCTCTTATACTCTCTGCATCATTATCTCCACCCCAGAGTTTCAGGGGAAATCTCTTAAATAAACCCTATGTATAGCTTATGTCAAGGGCTTCTTCCAAAAGGGATTAATAGTTATCTTTCTAGAAAAGATACTCAATATATAAAGTAGTTGTCATACGTAACAGATAGAGGACTGCTATTTATTTCTTCCACCACAAAAGAAATGCTAAAAAAAATTAAAATTAAAAAACCCTATTTCTCATGTTAAAATCCTTCAGACAGCAGGTGTTGACTTCTCTTACTTCCAAGAAGAGAAAATGTGCACAAAACATTGAAGAAATATACTGATCCATATTTTTTTTTCACATCTGTGTTCAACACCTTTGGGGAAAAAAGTCAGTGTGAATCTTGATTTTTTTTGTGCCTTGGAATCCTAAGGCTCTGAAAGGAACCCCTTTCTAACTCCAAAGAAATCCGAACCTGACATCTCCTGACAGTCATCTCTTCAATTCTATTCTTAAAGCTCTCCTGAGAACAGGCTTCTACAACTTAATAAATATCCCATTCTGGTACTTGGCAACCCCCTTAGCGAGGATATTTTTTTCCTTTTCTGCTAACCAAAATTTCCCTTGCTGAAATGTCAGCTCATTTTCTCTGGTTCAGTCCTCAGCCAAGTAAGAGAACAGCTGGTTAGCATCATCTGCATAATAACTCTTAATATGCTTGTTAAAATTATAGCCCCTCTCCAATAACCTCACAAAGAGAATCAAAGAACAGCTTTGTCAGCTGTACTGTCTAAGACCCTACACAGAGGCTTAAACATAATGACAGTAAACACCAGAACAGCCCTGAATGCTACTAAGATTATACGGCAACAGAGAAATTTACCAAGAATCATACTTCTCTTTCTTCCTAACCTCCTCATCTTGGCAAAGAAATAAGAGGCAAGGGCAATAGGAAATAGTCAGAATGAGCAGACAAGGGGCACTCCTACATCACCAGTAGAAGAAAAATTATTTTTTTAATCATTTAACCAGGTGAAATTAAGCATTTAATATTTACCACTCATGTACATGTAATGGAATCATTAGTCTCAAGTATAGTCTGCTTCCTTATTCACATCTAGACTATCCCCATTTCAACTCATCACATTTCCATAGTAACCACAGCCTCATTTTTTTAAAGATAAAATGATAGGAAATTATATCTGTCATTAAATCATTTGGTTCATTCTCTCCAAAATCTTCTTTTTTCCTTAATATGAAATGAAGACCACCCAACTCTTGTTCAGATGAGCTCCCTCGAATCAGCTCTTCTCATTTATGGAAACAAATCTTGGCTTTCTGTTTCCTTAGGGTCAGAAATGTGTCTTTTTTTGGTGACAGAAGTGATAATAAGTCTTCCTCATCTACCTTGTGTCTAATAACCAGCCACAGCTAGATCAATCTCATTAGTTCTTTGCTTAAGTCACCATACATGAGTATAGTGCTGTATTCACCTAGGTGGTGTAGAATGATGGACCTGGACTCAGAAGACCTGATTTCAAATCCACCCTCAGACACTTACTGTGTCATCCTCAATAAGTCACTTAACCTCTGTATGCTTCAGTTATCCTAGGATTAATAATAGCACCTACCTCCCAGGTAGATGAGGATCAAATGAGATGATGTTTATAAATCACATAGCACAGAACCTGGCACATAGTAAGCACTTAATAGTAAGCCTGGTTCCCTCTTTCCCTTTACTTCCCCCTAGAGGAGCAAAAATGAAGATGGGCATGGGGTAAAAGTGAAGGAATTATTGATAGGCCTTGTGCTCCACTGATATCCACTTAAGATACAGAGGAAGTTAAGAAGATTCCCCCTAGGTTGGGTGTACTCCCTGTAGTTGACTTGGACAAGAGGCAACCCAGCCTAGCTCAAGGAACAAGGCATCCTGAGGGGGAGACAGGAGGCAGGTTGTACCACACAAGTCAAAACACTACCATTTCAACCATTATCTCCCCTCAGATCTCTATAGAGATAGCCCAGGACCTTAAATGCAAGAGCTATGGTAATAGTAGTGCCTCCCCCTCCTGAGATAAATGGCCCTGTTTCCAGTTCAGGCCCCAGAGCAATCATTGAGGAGAGTAATTACTGTGAAGAGGCTCACCTTCCTTGCCACCATCACCACCAAGTGCAGACATGAAAGCCCAAGGGTCCTAGTAGTAGTGGTAGACCCCCCCTTCCACCTAGGCAACTGGTCATGCCCAGCATCAGCAGCCACCATCCCAGGAAGCAATCACCATGGGGATGCTACTTGATTTACCATCATGTTTTACTGCTGCATCCTAGGGACCACAGGACCTTTCTATCTGACTTACAGCTAAAGCCTCCTGTGTGTGTTATCTCCAGTAAAAATGAGCTATCATCTGACTTTTCTATTGGTATCTCCAGCACTTAGCCCAGTGTATAGCATATGCTATTGTTGCTGTTCTGTCCTTTCATTTGGGTCAGATTCTTCATGGACTTCTCTTGGCAAAGATCCTGGAGTGGTTTGCTGTTTCCTTCTCAGGATCATTATACAGGTGAAGAACTGAAGCAAACAGGGTTAAGTGACTTGCCCAAGGTCACACAGTTAGTAAGTGTCTGAGGCAAGATTTGAACTCAAGAAGATAAGTCTTCCTGACTCCAGGCTCAGCACACTATCCACTGTACTACTTAACGGTCCAATAATTAACATTTAATTCTTTTTCAAGAACTCACACATTCAATCATTCTTTCATTCAAGAAGAACACAGCATATGCATAGAGGCATATACATCTATATCACTGTAGGAAGAACCCACATTACTATACAGTAATCACAGATCCATTTGAGTGTTAGCCTAGTGACTATTACCCCCTTTCTCACCTCGCCCCCCCCATATTTAGTTTACTGGTGAGAAAAAATATTTCTTACCTACTTTGTGAACCTTTTGTCCACTATTTCCATCTGGGAGTCTCAATAACCTTCTGTCAATGATCCCATCATAAGAACTTTTCTCAGGCAATTAAATATTTACTGAGTGTTTACCTTGCTGGAGATAGTAAGAAAACATAGACCATCTTCAGAATGGGCAGGGTTCTCCATAGTCAAGTCAATAAACATTTGTTAAGCATATACTATGGGTCAGGGACTATGCTATACTGGATACAAATGCAGAAAAAAAGAAAGACAGTGCCTGACCTCAAGGACCTTACAATCTAATGGGGGAAGACAAAATACAAAAGCAAGATGAAAAGCTGGGGAAGGTGGAGCATGGTGGAAAAGTAGTCAGAGAAGTCTCAAGGTAGTGCAGCTAGGTGTGAAATTCTCAGACTACCTAGTCCAGCTGGGGCCTGAATGGGAATCTCCTCAGCAAATAAATTGAACAAGTGATCAATTGGCCTCTGCTTGATGCCCTCCAGTAAGGGAGAAGCCTCTACCTCCCCAAACCCATTCTACTACACTAGTTACAGGGAAGGACCATGTTGTTTTTCATCTTTGTGTCCATAGCAACTAATACAGACCCTTGTGTACCATAGACCCTTAATCCAATTTTGTCTAATTGACTTGAATTTGTTTAGTGGAATCACTCATCAGATATTGTTATCAGAAGTCATGATCATTTATTGAAAATCCCTTGTCACAGATTACCACTAATAATAACTGAAATCTGTGTAATTTTAAAGGTTGTGAAGTGCTTTACACATAAATTCTCTCATTTGAGTTTCATAAAAAGCCTATGAAGTAGGCATTATGAGCCTAATTTTATTTTTTAAATGCAAACCCTTAAATTTTATATTTTTATTTCATTAAATATTTCCCAGTTACATGTAAAAAAATTTAGCATTCATTTAGAAAATTTGATTTCCAATTCTCATCATCCCTTCCCCCTCCTTGAGAAGGAAAGCATGTTGATATCAATATATAAACATGTGGGCAATTAGGTGGCACAGGGGATAGAGTGGTGGGAGTCCAGGAAGACTTATTTTCATGAGTTCAAATCTGGCCTCAAATATTTATTAGCTGTATGACCCTGGGCAAGTCATTTAACCCTGTCTGCCTCAGTTTCCTCATCTGTAAAATGAGTTGGAGTAGGAAACAGCAAATCACCCCAGGATCTCTGCCAAGAAAACCTCAAAGGGATTCATGAAGAGTCTGACACAATTGAACAACAATAACAATCTACTCTATACTTTGCTTTTTGACAAAGACATTTTCTGAGCTTCACAATTACAGAAAACTCCTTTATATGATCCTAGTTTATCAGGTAAGATCCTTGAGGTCAGAAGCAAAGTTTCTTCCATATTCAGTGTGCCTGTCAAAGTACCCAGTAGGATCTCAAATTTAAAATCTCATCATGATATTAATATCCCAATTCCAAATGAATAAAAAAGCAACAGAATACTTTTCTAGTATGTCTCTTGGGAATCCAGAAAATCTCCTCTAACATTCCTCCCAGTTTTAATTTTCTATTCTTCTATTCATTCATTCATTCAGGATTCACCTTAGGAGTGAAGGAGTGTAAAGGACAGAAGACTATTATCAGAGAAGGAAATTTCAGAATTCATGGTCATGGATTAGCTCTAGTTTGGGGTGACGATGAAGTCTAAGGTACCAACCAAACAACACACAACTATTAAGTACCTACTGTGTGCCAGGCACTGTGCTATGTGCTGGGGATATGCATATAGTCCTTGCCCTCAAGGAATTTACATTCTATTAGGGGGGACAAGATATAGTGGTATGACTAGGAGGTGTGACCACCCCTTTGGGAGCTGAAATGGAGTGAAGGTGAAAGTCAGGAGAGATGAGGAGGTTGGTTAACTAGGGGCCATCACATTCAAAGTGTGTTGGGACAGAGAGGAGAATTGTAAGGAAGCCAAGTACTGAAGCCCTAGAGAAAGAAGGTGGCAGGGATGGGAGGGAACAATAGATAAAGTAACCAGGTTCTGAACAGGGTGATGTAGGTAAATGGAATAAGTTTCAAAGAAGATAACATTGCTGAGAAAAGGCAACAGAGGATTTCTCTGGCAGTGGCAATGAGAAGGAACCACAGACTTAGATGTTGAGTCCTCCTCATATGTGTATTAGAAGGGAGAGGTAATGGGGGATCAAAGAAAGAGCAACTGGCACTGGCGAGTGGTCAAAGAGAAGGTACTATCAAGGGAAAGCCACGATTCTACGAGTACAAGATGGCAAAAGGAGTGAGATAGGAGGAGTTCTAAGATGCCCGGAGTTCCCTAATGACAGAGTTTGGATTCCAGAGGGCACAAGAATGGAAGAGGAAAGCAAAGGAGAATGAGGGACTGGAGAATGGTAGTGCTGAGCTAGATAGAGAAAAGTATCAGGTGAAAGGTGGACTTTTAACCTTAACAACTCTGAATTATAGGGACCAAAGAAGCAAGTTGGGGAGTAAAAAAGACAAATTGGAGATGGGATGGCCCAGAAGTTGGAAGATCAGGAAGGAGGTAAGTTTGATACAATCTCTCCAACAGATTTCCCCCTTGCTTTCTAACCTTGATTTGCTCCCTATCTACTGGTTCCTTCATGTCTTCAAAAATGCCCAGGTATATATTCTGCATCCTTAAAAATCCTTACTTGGTCCTACCTATTTCCTCCAACTATATGTCTCCTCACTTTTACAAGATTCTTACCAAAAAACAAAGTTACCTTCTCCTACAGTCTCCTCTTGCTCTGTTCTCCTTTACTTCTCAGCCCTTTGAAATCTGGCTTCCCACATCATCACTCAACGAAAACTTCTCTCTTCAAAGTTATTGATGATCCCAGTTTCAATATCTGATAGCTTTTGCTTAGTCCCTTCTCCTTCTGGACCTCTCTACAGCATCTGACATTATTGAATTTAAGAAAGATATCAAGTTATGGGGGTGAAGGGAAGGGTAGATGAGATTAGTTTTGGACATAGGATCATACCACTGCAGGATTAAGAGAAAAAAAGGAAATCAAGGAACAACCCTCCTGTTTTTACAAAGGAAGAAATCGAGGCCTGAATTTGAGGTGCCATTGATATTCCTTTTGGATGTTTGAGGGCATGAGAAGCAAGTAACATTGGATGAGGTGGCCTAAGATAAAATGTCTTCCAGGGAAAACTACGTTTCTATGAGCCAAAATTGCGGAGTGCTTAAGAAAGGAAAAGGGGGCGTGTGTGTTGTAGTTTATTAGTAATAGAACATTTGAAAATACAGGCCTGAAGCTCAGGGAGAGAGCATGCAGTGTGGACACAGGGATTTGAGAGTCATCCACAGAAAGGTGATAATTAAATCCACAGGAGTGGATGAAGTAACCCAGGGGGAGGACGGAGAGAGGAGGGAACAGGGCCAAGGGCAAACCTTTGGAGGATACCTATGGGAGGAGAGGAGGAGCTAGGAAACTAGACCTGGAAGCCTAATGAATGGGGGTAACAGTAAGAAGTTCACTGCGTTCAGTATGACAGAAAAGTCAAGGGAGGAGGATCCTTGTAAAACACATCTGGTCACTCTGTAAGGAAGCAGCTTCACTGGAGCCCATGGGAGGGCGGCCAGAGGCCAGACTGCGAAGGGCAGAAATGGGGGAAGAGGAAGTCAAGGGGTGGGGGACAGCAGGACAGCTTGACGGAGAGCAGGGTCAAGAGAAGGTTTTTGAAAGATGGGTAAGCATGTTTGTCGTCTGAAGGGAAGGAAGCAGAGGAGGGATGATGGTATCGACCACATCGTGCACTGCCCACGTACAGTAGACCTGACCGTGCCCCTTCAACTGTCTCTCCCCACGTGCCTCCCTACTCGGCAGTCCTTGCACCCACGTGGTGCTCGCTTCCGCCCGGCTCCAGCTGGGCTTCAGAAACTGGCAACTCCTTCACTGAGCGCATGCGCCCTCGGCGTGAGCTCTTCACGGCGCGCTCGGCTGCCTGTGGGAGTTGTGGAGTTGTAGTTTCCCTCCTTCTCTACGCTTTAGGAATTAATTTTATTATTATTTTCCGTAAAAAGACTCAGATTCTAGCTCCCAAGAGTAAATCAACTGGGTGTCTTTCCAAATAGCTACAACGTGACTTCTTGTCAGGCTCGGCGCGGACAGCCCCGAGGAGGGTCCTCGGCTGAGCTCGCGGCCGCAGGGGATTGTGGGCGCGCACTTCCTCCCTTCCTTCTCTCTTTCTTCTCGGCCCCGACGGCGGCAGCATGGGTGAGTCGGGGCTCCGGGCCGTACGGGACCGGGGCTCTGGGAACGTGGAGGCGGGGCCGCCGGGGTGCAAGGGGGCGGCAGGGGGGAGAGGAGCCGGCGTCCGTGGCACGTGGCGGGGGCCGGGCCGGGCGCCCGCTGCTACCTCGGGCCCGGGGCCTTCGCGAGACGAGAGTGGGGTCAGGGCGTGACTGATTCCCGGAAAAGGGGTGCACCGGAGGGCCCCGAAAGTTTGTTTCCCACGAGCAAGTCGTGTTAGCCGCGGCTCCGTCGGTGGCTTTCGTCACTTCGGGGCTCCAGCTAGGGCAGACCGTGGCTTTCTGTGCAGTTCAGGCCCAGGTCGGGAGCCGGTCCCGGCTTGTTGTGTATGAGCCGGCAGGCCGGGCCACGGCTTGCTTAAACCGTGCATTTCTTTAACCCGGTGGTGCTAGTGCTTTTTTCATAAATCTCCAAAAGGCTCTTGACTGCTTGTGCATTTATTTCTGAAAGGCGAAAGTCAACCACCTCCCTCGGATTTTATGTAAGCATTTGTCAGGGGCTTGCCAAGTGCTGGGGGCGAAGACTGACAGTTTCTGCACTGGATTGAGATTTATATCAATCTATGAACGAATAAATGTTTATTATTCCGAAATCACTAAGCACTTATTACAAGAAACTGTACTAAGTAACTAGTTACAAAGAAAGGCAAAAAATTGACTTTCCTTCGAGTATGTCCTACTGATGGCGTGTTTTGTAAATATTTAATAACGTAAAACATATTCAAAATAAATGGAAAGCATTAGCAGCTGTAGAACTGGGAAGAAAACTTACTTAGACTAGAAGGTAGGATTTGAACTTGAATCTTGAAAGGAAGCTAGGGAAACCAAGAGACTGAGTGGAGAAGAACATTTCAACTATGTAGTGCCAGGCTACGAATACAGGAGATGAATTTTGTGAGAAATTGTAAGAAATAAGGGTCCACTGTGTGCCAGGCACTGTGATACAAAGAAAAAAGCAAAAGTTGCTGTTCTTAAGGACCACACATAAATGGTATAGGAAAAGGAATCTAAAACTTAAAGTCAGCTATTCCAACTCCTGCATTTTACGCATGCAAAAAACTGAAATCCTGACTAAGATCAAAGATGTAAAACAGGTTAATGGTACAGACAGTGTTAGAAATTTAGGTCCGTAGACATCCAGTGAAGTGTTAACAGAAAGCATGCTATGTTCCTCAAATTTTGAATTGTTACTTGCTGAAAGATACTATATTTTTTAGCTTAAATTTAAAATGTCAATTGTCCTTTTTTTAGGTAAGTGCCGTGGTCTTCGTACTGCTAGAAAGCTCCGAAGCCACAGGAGAGACCAAAAGTGGCATGACAAACAATATAAGAAAGCTCATTTGGGCACTGCCTTAAAGGCCAACCCATTTGGAGGAGCATCTCACGCAAAAGGGATTGTCTTGGAAAAAGTGTAAGTGGGAAGATGGGTATTACTGTACAATTTTAATGTGTTATATAAATTGCATGTAAATCAACAAGTTAACTTAATTGCATAATTCTGGTGTTCTGTAATGTTTCATCTGTTATCAAGTCATCATAATTCATAAATTATTAAGTTTGAGAGACAGTCCCATATAGTGGCTTTGGAATCTGGAACATCTGGGTTTAATGTCCTCTAATACACTGGCCTGAGACTTTGGACAAATCACCAACCTTAAGTACCTAAGTGCTAGGCATTGTGCCAAATTTGGGATACAAAAGACAATCTAGGTGGTGCAGTGGCCCTGGAGTCAGGAGAACCTGAGTTCAAATTTGGCCTCAGACCAAACACTTGACACTTACTAGCTGTGTGACCGTGGGCAAGTCACTTAACCCCAACTGCCTTAAAAAAAAAAAAAAAGACAATCTGATGGGTAAGAATTTTTTTGTCTTTACCGTCCTAGATAGTTGGGGAAATACGATGTATATGCATATAATCTTTGAGCACTGTCACAAGTAAACAACAGTGGAGTATATAATTTCAGGGAATTTTTGGGGGGCTTTTAATTTCGCAAGTGGTAAAGCAGATTCAGAGGGGATGCATATTGGCATCTGAACAGTCTTTAGCTCTTTTAACTCAGTGGTATCTTCACATACTATTTAATAAAGGGCCTTAAATGCTAAGTTTAAAAACCTTAACTTTTTCCACAGAAAAGAATAAAGGTTTTCATAAGTAGTTGAATTCTAGCCAGCTTGTATTGCAACAATTAATTTTTAAATGTATTTGTCTAATGTGAAACTGCATGATAATTTTGTTGTGCATTTGGTTTTCAAGAGTATTTAATAAAATGTTGGTTTGAACTAGTAAGTTATGTCTTTGGATTAAATAAATGGCTCAGTTTCTGTGGTTTATTTTGTTGTAGTGGTGTGGAAGCAAAGCAGCCCAATTCTGCTATCAGGAAGTGTGTGAGAGTCCAGCTGATTAAGAACGGCAAAAAAATCACTGCCTTTGTTCCCAATGATGGCTGCTTGAACTTTATTGAGGTAGGTATTTCTAGTGATTTAAATTTAATCCATTGTAATTATTTGTATTTGGCATTTTCCCCCAGGTTAAAAGGGAATAAAACTAAAGAACATAATGTCATTATATTTGGGTCTGTTGTAATTATGCAGGAGATACATTTTGTTTTTCTTTTAGGAAAATGATGAAGTTTTGGTTGCTGGATTTGGTCGAAAAGGTCATGCTGTTGGTGATATTCCTGGAGTCCGGTTCAAGGTTGTAAAAGTTGCAAATGTTTCTCTTCTGGCCTTGTACAAAGGCAAGAAGGAAAGACCAAGATCATAAAAATTGTATGATTTCTTTGTCATAGTAAAAAATGTTCATGTAACAAATGTGTGTGTTTTTCTCTACTTATTTAGATGTCTGAGTTATGCCTGTCTTGCTTTGAACTTTTTGAATTTTAAACAAAGCTGTTGAGTAGTTGTTAGAAGTGGAATGATGTGTACAATCAGCAAATGTTTATTAAGCACCTACTATGTGCTGGATCCTCAGGATACAAATACAGGTTTGAAATAGCTCCTGCCTTCAAGCACACATTATATTCTCCTTGGGGAATACAACATGATATGACTCAAGGCCAAACTTTTTTTAAACATTTGATTAATTTAAATGTTAAAGAGATATCTCAAATATTTAAACTGGACATTTTAATCTGCTTTTATCACAAGCATTAGGGAAGAATACATCAATTAAGACTTAAAATATTTACTGGGCTATTTTGAAGGGAAATACATTTTAATTTCAAGTCAGGATGGCAATCCAAATCACAGTGCTTTACAACCAGCATTATGAACATTTTTGTTAACAGATATGCAGTATGTTAACTAATTTGCCAGAAGAAGGTGTGAACTTGCTGTGTATATATGTCAATATTTTTTATCCATGTGGTACCTGCCCAGCACTTTTATTATATATAGCTGAGATAGGTATGTCCCAATTTTGTCATTTGTTTTAATACTTTGATTTTCTGATATAAAAATGTTAATCTAAATAGAAAACTGAATGTTTGTGACTATGGTGAGATGTATTGAGAGTTAAAGGAAGGCGAAGATCACTTGGTTGTATCTTAGAATTAGGGACATCAAGAAGCCCTAGTGAATTCCTCAAGGTGTCACACACAGAAAAGCTAGGAACTCTGGCCCTCCAAATCCAGTGCTCTTTAAATCCACTACATTCTGTTGTAATGAATGCCAAGGTTTCTAAAATACTAAGCACCATGCTGTGGGCTAGGTTGTAGGGATATAAGTGGGAAAATCACTAGCCCCCATTTAAGGTAAATTTAATCTTATAAGATGTACAGCAGGTGCTACAGCATTGAAACACATAGGCATGCATTCACAAATGTTGAATTTGATAAATTCCGTCTGAGAAAGCCACTTTACGTAGCAACAAATATGCCTAGATCTGGAATGTTCTGTCAGGTCAGTAAGAAGCTAAATATAGCAATGTTTAGCCCTTGAATATACTTTCCTGAAGCTAAGAGGCCCAGAGTCTAGTGATATGGATTCCAGTTTCAACATTCTAGATTGTTGATCAAGGAATGATTTAAGTCTTGGTTTTCTATCTTGAGTAGCTGTCATTGAAATTAGTGAGGAATTGGGAAGGAGAATAAGTATTTACAGTGATTTGTAGAAGCTCCTTCCATTACTGCAGATGGGCAACTGGAGCTTAAAAGTTTTCTGCCTGTGATCACACAACTACTTTGTCAGAAGCAGGACTTAAACTCGGGTCTTACTGACTCAGCCTGGCTCTTTATCCACTACAGTGCTGCTCATTCGTAACAGATGCTTAACTAAAGTTGGGATTCAATTTATGATTTGGAGATGTGCAGTAAGCCAGGAATTTAGGTGGCATTTAATTCTGAAAGGAAATAGTGCTGTATCTTCAGGTTTGGGAATCAGCGCAGTTAGTACAGTGAACTACTTTTTGCTACTTTTGGACATGAGGCTAACTATTTGGAGTCTCAATTTTCTCATCTGTAAAATGGTAGGATTGAGTAAAATGACCTCAGGTCCTGATGAATGAACTATGAAAATCAGTTCCTACCATGCTGCCTTATTATGTGCTTGAAATAATTTAACCTTTGATCTTGGTTTCTCACCTGTAAAAAAAAGATAAAGCCTGTCCAGGCAATTGCACTGTGTTGCAAGGATCAAATGTGATGTTTAGGTGAAAGCTGCATAGTGTTGGTATTTTTAAAAAAAGCACTCTTAATTATGTGAAAAAAAAATTAGATTTGGACTGGAAGGACCTGAGTTTTATTCCCAGCCCTGCTTCCTAATACCTGTGAGACCTTAAGCAAGTTTCTTCACTGTCCTCAAACTCCATTTGAAGGTGGTCTCTCCCTGGGGTTCTGGATGTTTCTCTGCAGGTATCTGAGCCTGTGATTTTACCTGTGGGGAATTCTAACGTGCAGACTTCGATAATTCAAATTGGTCATTTGTCTTCCATTGATACATTCTTAGAGTTGGCAGGTTGTGACTGCCTCTGGCCGCCAGTCAGGATCTCATTTAAAGCGGTAAGGGTCCTCTGGCCATCTCCAGCGCTCTCATTTTACAGGTGAAACAGCCACCTCAGATAGGTCAGGTGACTGATGCAGTCGTATATAGGAAGCAAGCATTGGGGATGGGATTTCCATCTAATTTTTTGGACTCCCTTTCCACATCCTGAGCTGAGGTCTTCCTGACACCCAGGCAGGCTCTGTCCACTACACCCAGCTACCAGTCGTGTTTTAGGACAGAGGTAGCAACACATTCGTTACAGCCTGAACCTGGTTTTAATGTGTTGATATATTAATAAAAAAGAAATACATAAATGTGTGGTTTTTTAAGTCACTATGGTGCCTGCAGGGATCCTTATGTGCTGTTGAGTGGTTTGACACTACTGATTTAGGACATCTCAGATGAATTTAATGGGGCAATCCTTTGATCTTTCTCGTCTGCAGGTTGGTGTGGTGGGAAGAGCACTGGATTTTAAGTTATGAAAACCTGGAGAAATCTCAACATCTGTGAGCCTCAGTTTCCCCATCTGTAAAATGGGGATAATAGCTACCATTAATGTAGCTCACTGAAAGACTGTCAGAAGACAAATTATATTAGTCTTTGTTGTTTTGTCGTGGCCAACTCATTGTGACCCCGTGGACCATGCTGTCCGTGCGGTTTTGGCAGAGACACTAGTGGTTTAACATCTCCTGCAGTGGTTTAAGGGAAACGTTAAATGACTTGCCCAGGGCCACACAGCTAGTGTCTGAGGCCGGATTTGAACTCCCATTTCCTGTCTTCAGTCTCAGCACTCTATCCAATGAGCCACCTAGGTGTCACAGACCTATAAAAATGTATTGTCGATGAACCGTCCTCATAAATTGCTCATGGGGATACGAAGTATCCCCCAAAAAAGCATCACAAAAAGGGGGCGGGGCAGGAGCCTGGCCACGCGGAACACCTGCGGGGTCTTTTGTCTCCCTAACTGGAGATAACCCCTCCCTTTCGCGCGCGGGGCACGCTGGGGATTTGCCTGGTCCTTCCCATACGGCTTATCTCACTATATGGCTTTGGCGTTTCAGGCGCTGCGCGGGGCAGCCTAGCGGTGAAGGGGGCGGGGGAAAGGGCCGGGGTTCTGGGCCCGGCTCGCGCTAGCTCCCAGACTCGCGCGTGCGTAGTTCATTCTTGTTGGGCTCCGGGAGCATCGCGGACACAGGCGAGATGGGTGAGTGTGGCGGGCCGGGAGCCGGGCGGGGAGAGGGGGGAAGAGGAGGGGGAGGGGGAGGGTCCCGGCCCCGGCCTCTATCGCTCGGTGACTCTTCCCAGGCAAGTGCCGCGGACTCCGCACGGCCCGGAAGCTGCGCAGCCACCGGCGAGACCAGAAGTGGCACGACAAGCAGTACAAGAAGGCCCACCTGGGCACGGCGCTCAAGGCCAACCCCTTCGGGGGCGCCTCGCACGCCAAGGGCATCGTCCTGGAGAAAGTGTGAGTGCCGCTCCGTATTTATGGGGCGCCTCCTGTATGCCGGCCTCCGGACCGGCTGTCCCGGCCCTCAGGGAGCTCCCCTTCCCCAGGAGTCTGAGCCCAGCCGGAGGGTCATCGGCTCGTGGGAGGGCGGGGCTGACCCTGCGCCGGGGCTGGGAGGTGAGGGGGGGCCCGAAGCCGGGTTTGGGGGGGACGGAAGCGGCCATGGGGGTGTATAGTGCAGTGAGACTGAGGCGGCTCGTGGAAGGCGCCAAATGTCAAACAGGTAACATGGGAGCCACAGGAGTTTATTGAGGGAGGGAGAGCTGCTTTAGGATTGCCCCTTGCCGTCGTATGGAGGACGAAGCGGAGAAACAGGAGGTGACACGGTTAGGGTGAGACCAGTGAGAAGGGTCCGAGCCAGGGTGGGCCAGGCTGCGTGAGGTGAAAGGTGTAGAGATGGAAAGTGCCGGCTTTGGCATCAGAGGCTTAGTGTTAGTTCCAGTCAGTAAATAAACATTTATGAAGTGCCTCGCACGTGCCAGGTACTGGGCTAAGTGTTGAGTATGCAAAGAAAGGCAAAAGACCCCCTGCTCTCAAGGTGCTTACAGTCTGGAGAGAAGTCATGCAATTACATACACACGAGATAAATAGGTAGATGTAGATATAGAAACAATAAAGGGAAGGCACCATACTTAAGAGGGATTGCAAAAGGCTTCCTGTAGAAGGTGGGATGTTAGCCAGGACTTGAAGGAAGCCACGAGGCAGGGATGAGAAGAGCACCCCAGGCATGGGTGAAAATGCTGGAGTCTGGAAGATAGTCTTGTTGGAGGAACAACAGGAGGCCCAGAGTCACTGGATCCTAGAGTACAGGGAGGGGTGGAAGGAGGCTGGAAAGATAAGAAGGGGCCAGGTTGTGAAGGGCTTTGAATGCCAAACAGAGGATTTTATATTTGATACTCAAAGCAGTAAGGAGCCACTGGAGTTTGTTGAAGGGAGGGAGTGTGTGCAGCCTAGGAAGATTACTTTAACAGCTGAGTGTAGGATGGACTGGAATGAGGTGAGGATTGTGGCCTACAGACCAACCAGGAGGCTATTGCAATGGTCTGGTTGTAAGATGATGAGGGCCTGCACCAGGGTGGGAGGAGTGTCAGGAGAGAAGGACATATACAAGAGATGCTAAGAAGATAAAATCAACAGGCCTCAAGCAAGAGCTTGCATATGGGGGTGTGAGAAAGAATGAGGAGTTGAGGGATGATACCTGGGTTGCAAGCCAGGGTAACTGAAAGGATTGCTGGTATCCTCAATAGTAATAGGAAAGTTGGGAAGAAGGGAGGATTTGGGGAAAAAGATAATGAGATCAGCTTTGGACATGCTAAGTTTAAAC